GTTACCACGCAAACACTAAAACAGTGATCATTGTTACCACGCAAACACTAAAACAGTGATCATTGTTACCACGCAAACACTTAACAGTGATCATTGTTACCACACCAACACTTAACAGTGATCATTGTTACCACACCAACACTTAACAGTGATCATTGTTACCACGCAAACACTAAAACAGTGATCATTGTTACCACGCAAACACTAAAACAGTGATCATTGTTACCACGCAAACACTTAACAGTGATCATTGTTACCACACCAACACTTAACAGTGATCATTGTTACCACACCAACACTTAACAGTGATCATTGTTACCACACCAACACTTAACAGTGATCATTGTTACCACACCAACACTTAACAGTGATCATTGTTACCACACAAACACTTAAACAGTGATCGTTGTTACCACGCAAACACTTAAACAGTGATCGTTGTTACCACGCAAACACTTAAACAGTGATCATTGTTACCACGCAAACACTTAAACAGTGATCGTTGTTACCACGCAAACACTTAACAGTGATCATTGTTACCACGCAAACACTAAAACAGTGATCATTGTTACCACGCAAAACACTTAACAGTGATCATTGTTACCACATCAACACTTAACAGTGATCATTGTTACCACATCAACACTTAACAGTGATCATTGTTACCACACAAACACTTAACAGTGATCATTGTTACCACGCAAACACTTAACAGTGATCATTGTTACCACACAAACACTTAACAGTGATCGTTGTTACCACACAAACACTTAACAGTGATCATTGTTACCACGCAAACACTTAACAGTGATCATTGTTACCACACAAACACTTAACAGTGATCATTGTTACCACGCAAACACTTAACAGTGATCATTGTTACCACACAAACACTTAACAGTGATCATTGTTACCACGCAGACACTTAAACAGTGATCATTGTTACCACACAAACACTAAAACAGTGATCATTGTTACCACGCAGGCACTTAACAGTGATCATTGTTACCACGCAAACACTTAAACAGTGATCATTGTTACCACACAAACACTTAACAGTGATCATTGTTACCACACAAACACTTAAACAGTGATCATTGTTACCACGCAAAAACCTAACAGTGATCATTGTTACCACGCAAACACTTAACAGTGATCATTGTTACCACACAAACACTTTAACAGTGATCATTGTTACCACGCAAAAACCTAACAGTGATCATTGTTACCACGCAAACACTTAACAGTGATCATTGTTACCACGCAAACACTTAACAGTGATTATTGTTACCACGCAAACACTTAACAGTGATCATTGTTACCACGCAAACACTTAACAGTGATCATTGTTACCACGCAAACACTTAACAGTGATCATTGTTACCACGCAAAAACTAAAACAGTGATCATTGTTACCACGCAAACACTTAACAGTGATCATTGTTACCACGCAAACACTTAACAGTGATCATTGTTACCACGCAAACACTTAACAGTGATCATTGTTACCACGCAAACACTTAACAGTGATCATTGATACCACGCAAACACTTAAACAGTGATCATTGTTACCACGCAAACACTTAACAGTGATCATTGTTACCACGCAAACACTTAACAGTGATCATTGTTACCACGCAAACACTTAACAGTGATCATTGTTACCACGCAAACACTTAAACAGTGATCATTGTTACCACGCAAACACTTAACAGTGATCATTGTTACCACGCAAACACTTAACAGTGATTATTGTTACCACGCAGGCACTTAACAGTGATCATTGTTACCACGCAAACACTTAACAGTGATCGTTGTTACCACGCAAACACTAAACAGTGATCATTTTACCACGTAAACACTTAACAGTGATCATTGTTACCACACAGGCACTTAACAGTGATCATTGTTACCACACCAACCCTTAACAGTGATCATTGTTACCACACCAACACTTAACAGTGATCATTGTTACCACGCAAATACTTAACAGTGATCATTGTTACCACGCAAACACTTAACAGTGATCATTGTTACCACGCAAACACTTAACAGTGATCATTGTTACCACACAAACACTTAACAGTGATCATTGTTACCACACCAACACTTAACAGTGATCATTGTTACCACACAAACACTTAACGTTAACCCCTTCTTCCACGCAAACACTTAACAGTCATCATTGTTACCACACCAACACTTAACGTTAACCCCTTCTACCACACCAACACTTAACAGTGATCATTGTTACCACACCAACACTTAACGTTAACCCCTTCTACCACGCAAACACTCTACATTGACACTAAACTATAACAGTCGAGAAATGTTACATGTTCCCATGAGGCGAGCATTAGAAGCTTACTTGTCATTGATTAATGACGTTTTGTTCACGTCAATCAAAACATTATTTGTCTTAGTTAGGCTACTTATAGCAAGCTACTTGGCAACCTATACACTATGCATAAACATTAGTTTCACAAATGTATGTGTCTAATTAAATTGTTTTACATCGTGTATAGGTATATAAAACCGGAAGTAGGTACACGTGCGAGTATATCATTACCCACATACTCTAATCTGGTAAAGGGAAATCTGCGCGTGACTACTTACCGACCGTCGCGGTAGTTGTACCTACTGATGTGTGAAGTTATATCTGACTTAGTGTATTCTTAAGGTTCAGAGTGTATCTCAGGACACTAGAACCCTGGCCACCAGTATTGATGAATACGGAGAGGCTCTCGTTAAGTCTCACGAGACTTGGAATGCATTTGACATGCGGCTCGCCTAAATAAACTTGATGCCTTCCTTCACCTCTGTTTAATGAAGATAAGATCCCTTTGGACACATGGGCAGTGGATTATAGTTACTAAACGCCTAATTCGCCACTAATATTCCAGTCAAATCAGAACGAGGGTACCACAATGTATCATATGGAGAATCGAACCCGGTCCGTTCAGCGTCACGAGCCAACAGTTTAACCACTCGGCTAATCCATGACTTTGCGTGATTGGTGCATATCCAGACTGACGAATAAGCAAAAGATTAACGCCCAGCTCCCGCCACACAAAAACAGTAATATATAATAGTGGGTGTTAAATAGAAGTCAAACAATTCCCATCACACACGTCCCCGTGAGTATGGGGTCAGGGTTTACGCCACCAGAGTGTGTTAAAATTCAACGTCGCACCGGCATTGTTTCAGCCGTATAGCGACCTTACGCTACCAGACAACGGCATCACGTATTGATAACCATGTAGGGAATCGAACCCGGGTTTAGGCTTGACGAGCGAAACCCTTAGCTACCCCACCGCCCCGTCATATGATATATCGACAAAGGTTCAATGAGGTTCAAGGATTACTCCTTGTATTCGCCGTTAACATTAGACGAGACTGGAGTGACCGTGACGTGTTGGGCTGGAGTGTGAAAATATATATCTGTAACGGGCATTCTGTGATGGCGATGTCGATATTTACCAGCTGTATATAGCTGCCATATAGCTATGGTCAAGTCTAGTTATAATATATAGTATGTCTGTTTGTTTGTTTGTTTGTTGTTTAACGCCGCACTCAGCAATATTCCAGCTATATGACGGCGGTCTGTAATATAATCGAGTCTGGACCAGACAATCCAGTGATTGACATTATGGATTGAGCATCGATCTAAGCAATTGGGATCGATTACATGTATCAACCAAGTCAGCGAGCCTGACCACCCGATCCCGTTAGTCGCCTTTTACAACAAGCATAGTCGCATATATAGTATGTATTACAAGTATATGTTAATCTGTGATATTGATGTCGACAGAACAATACGTGATATCGTATAGACTACATATACAGTCGAATCTCGTTATCTCGAACTCCGTTCTCTCGAATGTATCGATATCTCGAACCTATATCTCGATATCTAGATACATAGCTTCGATTATTGCAGTGACAGCTGTGATAAGTCGTGTTATAACACGTATATGTAAAACAACTAAACACTATCTGTGATACAGCGGTGGTAGATTTGATATTGCAGTAATAAATTATAATTTGATGATGCTCACTGCGTCGAAAATCCAATCCGTTCCGTCATTATCCCTCCCACGGAAAGGGGCAAACGGCTAAACTCACTTGCAATAGATCTGCGACGAGGGCTGGCGTACATCGCATGTCAAATATACACGTGGGTTTGTGGGTGTGAACTCTATTTGCAAAGCAACATAATTACACGCAATGACAGTACAAATATAAAAACACACGCATACTTGTGGTTTTAGCAAGTATGATTGTCAAGGAACCGGTTACAGTTGCGCAATGCGCCTGGTCAACAGGTATGCGTACAGACCGAGCCAGGTCCAGGCGACACAGCGTACACGTCAGCCCGCGGCTCAAGGTGTGGGAAGAATGTAGGCTAGTACTTTGAGATGTTTAACATATTTTGGAACTTAATTTGCTTTTTTTTTAAATCTCAATTTGTATATGAATCAGTTTAAAAATTACATTTATTATACTAAATTATACAGATTTCTAGTTTTGAAAAAAAAAGTATAAACATATCTAAATATTTTACACTATACAGTACATCTTGAAACCACATTAACACTGAATATGTTCGTCTCTGTAGGGGTTTTATGTACTGAATATATTTCCATCGAAGCGTAAACACATACCATTTGGATTAGTGCATCTAATAAGCACCAAGTAAAGGCTAAATATTGAAATAAATTCTTAGATAATTAATTATACGAATTAACGCACCAGGATCAATTACCTCACATCGCGACTCCCGTTTAAACAGGCGACATGGCGGAGCATTGAGAAGGTCAAGTGTCCGCGACTCAGAATAATCCACGTAGATGGTTCTCATGTGGTATTTGATAAATAATTTCCTCATTGTTTTGAAAACATGTTTATTTGTAACTTTCGTCTCAGTCATATAAACAATATTCAAGTTCATGGCAATACATATGTTCGTCAACAAGCCTTCCTCTCCCCTCGACGGCCATGTCCCGCACTCTGACATGTAAATGGCTTTAACTTATTAGCGGAACGTTTCTCTCGACTTGTTGTTTTGGTACGTAAAGTGTGGACTAGGGCTCTCTTCCCAGACGTCGGAGGTTGTATATTTTTGCAACCTGTTGCTTCTTGCCCTAAATCCGTTCGACAGCCGGCCGCGAAACCCGCTCACTGGGCTAAGTCTATTTTGACTGCAGCGCCGCCTAACGAGGTCACGCCGTGCCAGCTGATATGGGTAACCCCCATTCATTGCGGCCGAGTTAGAGGGGAAGATTTTCCCAATCGCCCCTACCCACTCACCTACAGCTCCATCCCCCGGGATTACTCACGAGAAAGGGGGTTCTGTGATCACGAGACAAGTTTTGGGTAGTTTCACTGCGAGCGAGCGACCGTAAGAGCACTTTCTTCCGTTTGACAGCTGCCGTGTCTAGCAGTGTTTGTTGGGTACTGCCTTGGCATATACAGGTAACCGTCTCAGTATCGAAGCCTGAACGCAGGCGTGGACAGTTTAACCTAGTGGACATTGAGTCCACACCATGGCGGACGTGGCCGAGACGCAGGGGGGACAGGGGGAAGAGGAACCCCCCAAGAAAAAGAGGGGCAGACCCCGAAAGCCTAAACCCCCAGAGGTAAGAACATGACAGCGTATCTTAACGCTCCTATAATTAATGTACCTCTGTCAATTAAAGTCTCAGTCTAATTTAATATAAAATAGAAACATATAAGTGATGACCCGGGGTATAAAAGACACATTGGTTTGTTTAATGTAGACAATGTACCCCATAACGTGTTTGGTGAATAATGTTGTTTTTCTTATACACGTGTTTTTACAACTTCTGTTTACAAATAAGGTTGGCATATGGATATTACTCGATGTATATATAGTGTATACAACAAATATTTGAACATAGCGATCTGATTATATTTTTGTTATTCGAAGATACATCGTAGGCCTGTTGATGTGGAACAAAATTGAAGGTTAAAAGGGTTTATTTTATTTTTTTGTGTAGCCAGAAGAACCGAAGTTAAAACGGCCTCGCGGAAGACCCAAAGGGAGCAAAAATAAGACTCCGGCAAAATCTTTACTGGTGAGTTGCCCTTGTTATCGATTGTAACTTATGAGAATGTGATACTGCTTATAAGTACTGATTTCGTAAACTTCATCCTATCCAAAGTATAAACACGCGATTATTTGGAAAATAAAAGCTTATTTTTTACAGATGTTTTGACGTCGGACGGGCTACAGGTATACATATGTAGGCTTTCATGTGAAGTTGTGTCGTGACAAGCCTAATACAATCTTTAGTTCATGTGTGGCACGGATAAACGCCAATGGGCGTGATTTACAGCCTGTCATATCGGGATTTATGTGTACGTTATATAAGAATATCTCTGCCATATCAGCAGTACGACCTCGTCATCATGTAGAGCGGCCTTGACAACCAACGTGTCTCTATGACGCCATACAGAGGAGCAATATATGTGTATATTATCATTATATATATATATATATATGTATGTATGTATGTATGTATGTATGTATGTATGTATTGTTATATTATCATTAAATATATATATGTATTGTTTATGGTAATACGGATATAATTATGTTGTTTCATGTCTATTTGATTACATTTAACTCATTATCAATTCCATGTAATGAGTTATGACCCTGTCATATTAATAGTGCCAACAGTTAACCGACATAGAATTTTTGCAATGTAATGTCGCACACTGTTAAAAGTGAACGGAGTTGTATGCCACCATGTAGGTAATATTGGAATTTATACACGCCAGACAGCTGGTTCAGCGTTAAAAACGATACACATGTACTCAATTCCATTTTGCACGGGATATCTAAGCAATGCGAATTCTTTTGGCGTATGATAACAATTATGGACGATTTGCACTAATTTATTTCAATGTGTCAGCAGAGTTCACTGACCGCGAGATTTTCTACTAGGGTGTTTAACGTCGCGATGTAGTTTGTCCGACGCCGCGGAATTCGTCGATGCGACTAGCATTTGTTTTGGGATCATCTCGGTGAAGTCTCGTTTGCAGCGGGATGTTGATCTCCTCGCACGCGAAACTCTACCTTTAATGCACCCACTCATCAAAGACCGTGTACCCGTGCGCATCTTATGAATGACTTATCATTTATACTACTTCACGGGCTGTTTCTCGGCCCTCTTTCGAGGAATGCTATTCTTAAGCCCGTGGAAAGTGGGTTGGGAAAACCTCCCATGTGATTGTTGGTCATGTGCTGTCTATAAAGACGGACCCACGTGCTTGATTTGTGGTGGGTGGGCGGGAGTGGATATAGCGACGGGAGGGGGTGGAGGGAACTATGTTGGGGTGGATGGGGGAGTTTATGCGGGTGGCAGATGTTTGAAGACTGTCAGAATTGGCTAGATGGATGCCTAGGCTTATGTGTGTGTTCGAAGTCGCATCAACAAGCATGTTGCTTTTAACAAAGACCGACACTCATCAACATGCAAGAAACATGCACAGCTTGTATACACATTGCAAAACTATGCGCAGGTGCTTGTGTGTGCAGCATAATGTACCACCATGGTGTATTTTCTTCTTACAGATATAGTTGCATAAGCATTGTAAACTTTAGCTGACGCAGCTGTACTCAAAACGTATTTGTTAAATCAGAAAACTGCTTTCAAATATTCTTAATCGGGTAGCGTGCAATGCATTCGTTTTTGTCAATTTATGAATGAATTACACAATCTGGCGAGCACGATGCACCGACTTGACATCCATTCTCACCTGCTAGATGCCAAGTCCCACTTGGCTGATGTTATACACAGGCTCCCGTACACGGCTGTATATATACCCCTGTTGTATGCCATAATTCACCATTTAACAACTGTTATTGTCTTAGACGAGCAAACCCGGGGCATCCGGGTTATACTTGGTTTATTTGCCCGATTCTGTACATACCGCGATGATTTTGCTGGGAAGCTTGTTCGTGTAATTAAGGCTGTAAACCCTTTTGATACACAAACAAAATGGACAGCTTTAAAAATACACGAAATGAGCTGTTGCAGAGGGAATGGAGATAGTTAATAACTGTTGAAATGAATTTATAGCGGGGAGAGCGAGAGAGAGAGAGAGAGAGAGATAGAGAGAGGGAGAGAGAGAGAGAGAGAGAGAGAGAGAGAGAGAGAGAGAGAGAGTTTTTACTAAAAGCCTAGGCAAGTGTAGATCAAGCTAATCAAAGTCTAGTTTCCTTGATTAAAAAAAACAGAAGAGATAAGGTTCTTTTGAAGAAAAAAAGGATAATTATTTTAAAGAAATGTTTTCATTACCTAACTGTTAGTCTAGATTTAATCATGTGGATCCTAACTTTGCTTTTGCGTCGTAGAAATAAAACACCACAACAATGTTCTGTAGGAAGTCTTGTCGGTCCAGTTGGGCATGCCCCTGTTCTGGTACAGATGTATATGCCATAACGACACACGTTCTTTCCCTCAAATGCATTCCATTTGTCTCGGTTGTGCATGGGCATGTGCCTTATGGGGTATTACTAGGTCACGTAATCCTGGTATGTGATAAAACGAACAAGGAAACTTAAAGTCACATGATGCTAAAAAAGGGATTTTCTTTAACGCTCTCCGTGATAGATCTGGTTTCAAGGAGCTGGCCGTTTCTATGATATTGGGTAACTGTTCAGGCGTAATATGACTGTATTTTCATGTGTTGATGTAACCTCTATAACCCGGACTTCGATATACCGGAAAGATTCTGGATGATACATTCTGACATATTTCAAGTTAAAGTGGTGCGGTCAGAATTCTGTTTTAAAAAGAAGAAAAAAGAATCTTAGTTCTGTTTGGTGTTGGAAAACAAATGTATTACCTAGACGGTATATTATGAGAAGATAGAAAGCTTAAAGCAGAAAAAAGATATCTGAACTTTGCGGTCTATAGAGCAGGGGAGGGTGAAAGGTGATGCAGCGCAAGTACAGACAAGAACCATCCTATATGAGAATGGTGAATGACACATTTGATACACTACGGAAGTGACGTCTCTGAGTCGTTCTTTCCGTGGTCTGGACACATGTCCAAACCGATGACGTCTTGATTGGTGGCGCTGGTTAGGACTGAGATTTATGTGGGAGTGATGTGTTGGACCAGACAAACCATGGCCAATGGATGATCGACGGGCATATCAGTGGCCAGAGTTGAACAATACCTACATGCATGAACAGTCATTGTGGCCACCCGATCCCCACTTTAGTCGGTTCGGGGTCGGGTACTCTAGACACAAACTGTACCCCTTATTACAGTAACGCGACCTAAACTGCCGGCCAAAAGAAAGTATACACTTGAACATTCCCATTTCACTCTGCCCATTACCGTGTACTGTGAAATTGCGAACCAGTAAATGAGACGTGATGTGACGTCATGTGTTAGGAGATACACATTGATATGATGCAGGTCCTACTGTCTATGAAATCCGTATCACATGCATCACCAGCGAATAACCATTTCTTGTTCATTTCAAGTTTAGCCACCATCAAACATGTGTGTATACTTTCTTTACCCCGGCAGTTTATATCAGACGTGATGATGATATATGAAATCTTGAACTTCAATCACAATATATTTCAAAATATACCATCAACCGGGCGCATGAGTGAGTGAATGGGGTTATACGCCCCTTATATCAAAGCATCAGCATCGCCATTCAAGAACCACGAAGAAGCATTTTCACGTCGTACTTATATGTAGGGGACCAGTGAGTATTGTTTTACGCCGCTTTTGGCAATATTCCAGCAATATCACGGCGGGAGAGACACAGAAAAGGGCTTCACATATTGTGCCCATGTGGGGAAACGAACCTGGGTCTTCAGAGTGACGAGCGAACGGTTTAACCACAAGGCTACCCCACCGCCCCATGAATGGGATCAAACCATTGTCTTCGCCCCGACGGTCAAACTCTTTAAACACTAGGATTATAGGAAGGTGTTGTGGGGGCTTTATTTTGCATAATTTGCAGTCGCAAAAAAAAGACTTGATCCAATTCACTTGCAGTATTTAAGATCCTTCATCCGTCAAGGCATGCTAATTTACTCCACAGCAAGCCAGCAAATCCCCATCTTTTGTCCGATGTCTCGTGTGGAGTGTTGGGTCGTCAAGTTGAAATGGGGAATTGTGCCCCACATATTTTTTCAGACGTTATTGGTGCTGTTGACTCGTGTAGGACTGGCTTCGATAAAGAAGGAAAGTTGAGTGGGTGGCTGCTCAAGCCATGTGACAGTGTGATACATAAGCGAATTACAGAATGTTTTCTGACTTTTGTACGCCCACGCAAATAGCTGAGGTCGAGGAATCTCGCCGAGTATAGCAGTGAGGGTGACGTTAGGGGTATAATGGGCCCCACTAGCAGGTGATGGTCGCCTTTGATTTCTCTGAAATGTGTAGATGTCTAACTCAAGGTCACGGTCGGCCGATAGACTGAACTGAATGAAAAGCTTGAGCCTTGACGACGCGATGCCTGGGCCACGCATTGAGAAGCACTACCGATGACATCTCGCCTTTCTGCAGCGCCGCTTTAAGACGTTCGCTCGTCATGGATGAGACTTGGGTTTGCTTTCCGAATAGATATACCCGGTACTTCATTTGAAGCACACAGTGGCCACCGCTGTGATCGTGACTGCAACGTGGCTTCGAAACTGATGTACCTAATTTGAATATGTGAGTGGGTGAAACGGTTTTAGGCCACGTTTATCAATATCCAAAATTATCACGGCAGGGAGTGAATGAGTATGGATTTACGCTGTTTGTAGCAATATTCCAGCAATATCACGGCGGGGGACACCAGAAATGGGCTTCATACACTATACCCATGTCGGGAATCGAACCCGTGTCTTGGACGTGACGAGCCAACGCTTTAACCACTAGGCTACCCGACCACCCCATCACGGCAGGGATCATCAGTACATCATGTAGGGAATCGAACCCGGACCATGACGAAGAAATTGTGTGTCTTTAGCCTCGAGGTTAAAATGTTAACGTATACATACGCTCGGGAATGAGTGAGTGAGTGAATAACTTCCAATTTCAGAAAGCTTCTTCACCTGACGCTCACATTAGGGCGTGACACCAGGAGTCACATGACTTCAGCGCCACCTGTTTGATTACTGCTTAGTATGCAATGAGAGGAAATAACAAATGACCTGATGAACGGACGGGGTCATACCACCACAACATACACATAATTGCGTTAGCATTTCTACACACAGAGTTCCGTAGCTCCGTGGCTAGTGTTTGCTTGTCGCGCCCAACATCGAGTTTAGTTCCACGGGAATTCTATTTGTGGCCGATTCTTATGCGGATATTCGTCATTAATGACATGATGTTATGAGTGGATATGTTCTTCCGCCGCCTTTAGCAATATTCCAGCAATATCACAGCAAATCGGCTTGGAATTAAACCCGGGACTTCGGGGTGACGAGCTAACTCTTTGCCCGCTGGGCTACCTAACCGACCCTGTTCCGTTGTAAAAGTACCGGTTCGATCTTCAAGGCGATATCGTGTTTGAAGCACAATCATGCCAGGACAGATAAACTATAGACATATGAAAACACCGTGTGTTCTTTAACTTCTTTTGAGTAGTGTATATACTCATGGGAAGAAAACGGGAACGTTGTGATGTCCTGGTTGAAAACGAAAAATTATTATTATGATGTAGTGACAGTCGTCTAAGGCGCCGCGATTCGCTGTGCAGAGTTGCGTCCCTTGGGCACGCCAGAAACCTATGATTGTGGGTTCGAATCCCGGTTCGCCCCAATTATGTTTCTAGGTTTGTCAGCACCATACCCGTGCTCGTGGGTTTCACCGAAGTGATAAACGTCTAAGACCTGCATCTCTTCGGGCTTTCCTCCCACATTAAGCTGACACGCCGTGATATAACTGGATGACTGTTAAAAGCGGCGCTAAACCCAACTCACTCACTCACTCACTATGATGTAGTGAACTCGAGATGCAGTCATTTCACTCTGCGACCTTTGTTGATGATGTGAAGCAGTAATCTTCAATATGTCTACCGTATTGTCGGATCCCGGCAAATTATTACACTTTTCATAATTATTTGACTTCTGATACGTCGGAGCTGCAAATATTCCGTTAACGCGCACATATTTTGAAGTAAATAATTGCAAATACAAGCGTAAAATTGTCCTGTTAGGTCGACCTGAAAACTGTGAAAATTATCATTTTTGTACTTGTTTAACGGACCCGTGAAGATCCGGGGTAGAATAGGTCTTAAGCAACCCATGCTTGCTGTAAAAAACGACTATGCTTGTCGTAAGAGGCGACTAACGGGATCGGGTGGTCAGGCTCGCTGACTTGGTTGATGCATGTCACCGATCCCAATTGCGTGGATCGATGCTCATGATATCAATCACTGGATTGTCTGGTCCAGACTCTATTATTTACAGACCGCCGTCATATAGTTGGAATAGTGCTGAGCGCGGCGTTAAACAACAAACAAACAACAGTTCACGTGTACAACGATATAATTCCTTTGGTTTTTGCTGATGAGCTTGATACCCGGTTTTCGGATGTGTCGAACACTCGGATAGGTTGAACTTTCCTGAGGTCACTTTGAGTTCGACACAACGACGTTCAACTCCATTGGTTCCCTCCCCTTGTTTCTTCGGTATAATCAGGTGATACACTTTGCACAGTACGTTCATATGTTTGACTTATTTAAGAAGAAGATATGTCCCTATTTATTTTGCAGAGGATGAATACACCAAAGAGACCACGCGGAAGACCAAGGAAATATGTAAGTATGTCACAGAAAATAACAATTAATGAGCATGTAACTCGCAAAGATAATTTTATAGATTATGTTATAATTGTTATGATATAGGTCCGGGGAACATTTGTGACAGAATATTGTTTGTTATTTACCGCGGCACTCGGCAGTATTCCAGATATACGACAGCATCTGTCAATAACCGAGACTGGACCACACAAACCAGTGATTGATATCATGAGCAACGTCCACAACGTCGAGGTACGATGACACGAATAGAACAAGGAGCAGGTGATGACAATATGCCACCTTTGCTTCAAATTACCCCGTCGCTATATTGCTGAAATAATGCGGATGCGATTTTAAATTTTAAGTCACTCACTCCTTCAATTTATCATTTATCTCGCAAGTCACCCGATCCCTTAATTGTGTCGCCTCTCACGACCATCTTAGGTTTCTGGGGACCAATTCAAACCCGGAATTCCCCCGGCTACAGCACGCAGGGTAGGCCCCAGTACCCATGTATGTGTAGACGCAACGTTGTGGTAGCCTGCTGGTAAGCGCGTTTGCCTGTCACACGGTTTGATCCCCATTTGGATACGACGTGAAGCCCTTTCTCCGTTCCCCGGTGTGTTGTGCTTACAACTAAACTCATAAGCTTTTACTAGCCCAGGTAAAGATAAAATGCTCCTGGAATGTTAAAGCAATGGGGAGATTGGGAAATTTGTACTTGCCCTCGGGAATTTGTACTTGCCCTCGGGAATTTGTACTAGCCCCAGGCTAGTGGGCTAGTGTTAAGTTCTAACCCTGTTGTAAGCTAGGCCTACATAAAACACAACAAAAGAGAGGTACAATGGGGTGGTACAATGCGTGAAATGACATGCTCCTGGTGTTAAACTCGCTCACAGATTCTCGGAGAAACACAGTTTCGAAGATCCAGTGTCAACACTTCCGTTCCTGAAGAGGCATTTAAAGGGGGAGAACTGCGTCAAACGCAAACCTCTGAAAATGTTAGGAATCCGAACTGCTAATAAATCAAATGCTAGAATATTCATGCAAGCAATTGGCTGGTTTTAATCCACTGAAATATGTATCGTGTTAGTCTAAATGGATCTATTATGTAAAGTGAGTCATAAACTGCGTTAGATGAAAGGCTGGTCGCTTCTCCAGTGTTGACGGCTGTAGTATCCCGGTGAGGTGAGGGGGCGTTGTCATTATACCGGCTTGCGAATGTTAAATCGTAGTAGCAGATCAGAAACTGCTCTATCATTACCACGCAATATAATAATAGGCAGTAAATCTGAATTTGAAGATTAAAAGTGAAAGTGTGTCTGGTTAAGGAAGCGTAACCGAAGCGACGAGATCCTACTTCCTAATTTAAAAAGGGAGGTGAAATATAAATTAATTAAAATGAGTTCAAATATTTATTTAAAAGTACGTTTATTGCGTGTTGAGTGTTCAGCATATTTATAAATTAAATTATTCTGTTCCTATAATATATATCGCCAATATGTCCAGGTTTTACGCCACGCACAAATGTTGAGATTCGACGCAGAAAAAGGATATTCTGCGTCCCAAGGGACACACAATAATATTCATTGTACCCACAGCGCATCAAGAGCAGTTATGGGTATCTGTCACTTCATCCATCAATCATGACCACTGTCCACATGATCATTGGTTCATTCCAGGCTCTATAGTAATTATCAAGACATACAGTGCACTGCACCGTTTCATTGCTTCATATGCTGCAATGACCCTTAAAATTAATTATATTTAACTTTAAAATAACGACAAATTATTTTAAATAAAATTTTGTCTGGAGTAAATATTACAGGAATCATATTCGGTAGTACCCTATAAGAAGAAATTTCGCCACCCATGACCATCCCGTACATTCCCCCCTCCGATCACACACCCTACTACCGTCACGAAAAAGGGGTAATTTAAAAAAAGAAAAAAAAAGATATATGATAAAAAGTTAAAACCTTGCAAGAACAAAACATAAAACGATCGGTTGTTTGTCGCAAGGACGTGTCCTCCCTTTTCCCAAGAAAAAGCTTTTGTTTCATACGGGATTTTAGACTATATATAAGTTTGATAATCACGAATATCTGGACTCTGTTTTGTATATTTAATACTTATACATCTGATGAAATCACTTATTCATCTATAGTTACTTAAGCTTGTACATGGGACTGTGGTTAAAATAATGAATTTCTTATTTACTCTCAAAACGCGGGGGGCCTCTATCGGACACATGCTGAAATTATGAAATTTTATATCTTTTTAACTCTAAACCCCCGTCCAAAAAGAGAGCAATTTGATAGTGAAAGGGATATAATATACCGTTTCATCATTTTAATCCGAACTTAGGATTCTTCGATCGTTCTTGTACTTGGGATTCCTGAACTTGGGGCAGCCACGCACTGGACGGTGCCTCCACCGAGGTGACAGTTAGCTGACCAGCGTCATACGACACCCTGCTCTCTTGACCTCGCGGGGTCCGGGGCTCACGAGAGGTCATTGGGTCAAGAAGTTGAATAACAGGTGCTTGCTCTCAATGTAGCTCGACTCCAACCCGGAGCGTTCAAACTTCCATGATTTACGTGGCCTCTTGGTGTTTATCCAATTGAGCTTGTTATCTTGGTGAATGAGACTCCTACAAATGTTTGGTAGTGTTTGTAAGTGTATAAATAGTGGTTTAGTAGCACCTCCATGGAAAGTGAGGCGTGAAGACCCTTTGATGTGGCGCGTTTGATGTTTTGTGATGAATGTGTACAATTAGATGGTGCTGGTTGAAGGTTACGCTGATGTGATGGGGTCAGATTAGAAATGTCTTTAGGAAGTTGGTGTTGTTGTTTCAATGAATTGAACCCAGAATTAATGGCATGGGTGTAGGCAGGGAAAATCTATGAATATTTTATTTATAAGATAGATTTGTTTTTATTTTGTTTTTTTTCATTGTATCATTTATCTTTTTTAAAAATGACAAGTAATAATAGAGGAACAAAAAATAACTAAAATTGTTAGTTAACTATTAACTGATAAATAAGTGATAGAGATTAATAAATATATGAAAAGCTTTCAATGTGATGATGAGTGATATGCAATAGAGATATTTAGAATATTTATCACTTTTCATAATAAAATATTTTCTTTGACGTACTTGATATTGAATATCTCTGAACACAATTTGCAGATGATACAACAATTATATTGACAGATCAGAAATGTGTTTCCCGACAACTATGAACATACTTGATGCTTATTCATCCCTGCTGGTACTCAAAGTGAACATTGAACAAAATAAAATATTATGGATGGATTCAAAACAGTTTCCAGGCATAGTATTTCAACATCATAAACTAGATTGGTCACAGCGCCCATTTGTTCTACTAGGTATTCAATTTCAACATGACAAAGCAGAAAGGGTAGAAAGAAACTACAAAGATAAAAGAATACTTATAAAATTATGATGGTCTGGTTGAGATCTGCAGCCATTTGGAAGAATAACAGTATCAAAGAGTTTTATTTTACCCATGTTAAACCATCCTTTCACAACTCTTCCTAATCCTAAAACAAATATAATAGCTAACCTTCAACTCAAGTGCTTCTCATTTATGTGGAAGGGCAAACCTGACAAGATTAAAGAAAGATGATGACTAAACAGGCAAAGATGGTAGTCTCAGAGTGCACTTGATATTGGAAACAAGTCAAGCACAAAATATATCATGGATAAGAAGAACGAACACCAAAAACACCAAATTATAAAAGAAATTTATCAAACTATTTATTCCAACTGACATGCCTCCAACAGGGCCAGGATCAAAATATGTAAAAAATAAGTTGTTTCGATACAATCAGAAATCCATTTTTGAAGCATGTTTATTGATCATGGTCAAAAGTACAGTTTCTTCACCATTTACAAACTACAGAGAGAGAAAGAGAGAGAGAGAAAGACAGACAGACAGAGAGAGGGAGAGAGAGAGTTTTTACTAAAAGCCTAGGCAAGTGTAGATCAAGCTAATCAAAGTCTAGTTTCCTTGATTCCAAAAAAACAGAAGAGATAAGGTTCTTTTGAAGAAAAAAAGGATAATTATTTTAAAGAAATGTTTTCATTACCTAACTGTTAGTCTAGATTTAATCATGTGGATCCTAACTTTGCTTTTGCGTCGTAGAAATAAAACACCACAACAATGTTCTGTAGGAAGTCTTGCCGGTCCAGTTGGGCATGCCCCTGTCCTGGTACAGATGTATATGCCATAACAACACACTTTCTTTCCCTCAAATGCATTCCATTTGTCTCGGTTGTGCATGGGCATGAGAGAGAGAGAGAGTATATCAATTTTATATACTGATGGAACTGAATAAGGGAGTACTAAGTTTAAGGCACAATGAAATGATATGCTATCATGAGTTCCCAGCCTTGTCTACCAAATACTTATTTCTATCAGTATATAAGCACTATTTGAAAGCAAATGTTAAATTTGTCATGATTTTCTGAAATACAATGGAATGTATTTGATTTTGGATTAATTCACTGAACTATCAAATAACTAACAAGTTTTTAGAATGTGCAGGATTGATTTAATTAATAAATGCGTATGCACCGACCAACTCAATATCTTTTGAAAAACAAATAGAAGTGTCCCTTATTCCTAAACATTTTGAGATATTACATAAAGAAGCTAATATATGAAAGATATTTTTTTCAAACATTTAATGAACATTTTAACTGAAAAACAAAATGGTCGCTGTGATGACACCATGCATAATGGATAATTTATGGAAAACATAATTTTATTGCTTTTCAAGCAACCTGTAGCACTAAATTGGAAATATATAATTATCATTTGGATTAAAGGAAAAACAAAATGATGTCCTCGCCTTTATCTTAAGTTTAGCTAAATTTATATGTCTACAAAAACACATGTACAAATTGCTTATAAAATTTTAATGGTCAGAAGATTATGTTGACAAATTTGTATCATTTCAACACGTTCACTGCCTATTCAGAATCCAAA